CCCAAGAGTACATTCACCGGTGGGAGTCATTTCGCCAGGAACTCACCGAGCTAGATAAAGTTGCAGTACCCAGATGACTCAGACTCTCACCTCAGACAAACGACATCCAATTACACGGATTCGCAGATGCCTCAACAGTAGCTATGAGTGCTGTGGTCTACATTTGCACTCAGAATCTCAACGAGCCAGCCTCCACAGTTTTGGTCTGCGTTAAGACCAAAGTAGCACCGATCAAGCGCATGACTATTCCACGTCTGGAACTTACTGCAGCTCTCCTGTTAACTCAACTCGTAACATCAACGCAGCAGATGCTCCAGCTAGACCAGGTAGAAACTCACCTTTGGTCAGACTCAGCAGTAGCTCTCGCGTGGATCAGGAGTCCGGCCTCGAGATGGAAAGACTTCGTCCACAACAGAGTGGTAAAAATCCAAGAAACTCTCCTGAATGCCACTTGGAAACACGTCAGTGGGAAGGAGAATCCGGCCGACTGCGCCTCCAGGGGCATAACACCAAGTCAGCTAGCAGATCATCACCTCTGGTGGACAGGACCTGATTGGATAAATCAGGACCCTGAAGACTGGCCACGATCAACTATCGATGCTCCACCAATGGACATCCTAGAAGTGGCCAAAGAAGCGAAACCAGCAAAATCTCACCCAGTCGTACAGAGAATCAACGAGATTGCCGAGCTCCTCAACAGATACAGTACGATGGCAAAGCTGTTAGCAGTAACAGCGACCATCAACAGGGCCATCGACAGATTCAGGAGGCAGCCAATGCCCCCGGGATCTATCTTGATGACCAGAGAACTCAACGATGCGAGATTATTTTGGGTAAAAATAACACAACACCAGTACTTTGTTTCAGAACTCAGGGTACTTCTCAGAAATCAGCAGCTACCTAGAAATCACCAGTTAGCGAAATTCACCTCAACTCTGGACGAGGAGGGCATCATGTGACTTGGGGGACGCCTCAAGAACTCAGAACTCCATCCAGAACGGATCCACCCAATAATCTTGCCACGTCAGTCCAGATTCACCACACTCGTCATCGCAGAAGCTCACCAGAAGACCCTCCACGGAGGGACACAGCTCACCTTGGCCTACACTCGGCAACGCTATTGGATACTCGGTGGCAGGGGCACAGTNAAATCAGCAGCTACCTAGAAATCACCAGTTAGCGAAATTCACCTCAACTCTGGACGAGGAGGGCATCATGTGACTTGGGGGACGCCTCAAGAACTCAGAACTCCATCCAGAACGGATCCACCCAATAATCTTGCCACGTCAGTCCAGATTCACCACACTCGTCATCGCAGAAGCTCACCAGAAGATCCTCCAGGGAGGGACACAGCTCACCTTGGCCTACATTCGGCAACGCTATTGGATACTCGGTGGCAGGGGCATAGTTAGAGCCTACATCCTACGCTGTGCTATCTGCGCCAGACACCGAGCTAGACAGGCTCAGCAACAGATGGGTCAATTGCCCGCAACCAGAGTCTCACCAGCAAGAGCATTTCTCCACACGGGNAACTCAGAACTCCATCCAGAACGGATCCACCCAATAATCTTGCCACGTCAGTCCAGATTCACCACACTCGTCATCGCAGAAGCTCACCAGAAGATCCTCCAGGGAGGGACACAGCTCACCTTGGCCTACATTCGGCAACGCTATTGGATACTCGGTGGCAGGGGCATAGTTAGAGCCTACATCCTACGCTGTGCTATCTGCGCCAGACACCGAGCTAGACAGGCTCAGCAACAGATGGGTCAACTGCCCGCAACCAGAGTCTCACCAGCAAGAGTATTTCTCCACACGGGGGTGGACTATGCAGGTCCTTTCGCCATCCTCAAGTGGAGACCCACCAATGCTCAACCGGGATCAGTGCACATCGCAGTGTTCGTGTGCTTCACCACGTCAGCAGAACATCGAGATTGGTAACATGGTGCTGATGGTCGACGATAACCTTCCACCAGCCCAGTGGCCAATCGCCAGAGTCATCGCGACTAGACCAGGAGCAGATGGGCTCACCAGAGTAGCCACAGTCAGAACGAGCAAAGCAGAAGTCGGCAGACATCAAGATGGGTCGCCTAATCTCCAGAACATCACANGCTAATCTCCAGAACATCACAGCAGCACACTCGGTGTTTGACAGACAAATCACCAAGCTCTGTCTGCTTCCCACAGACCCACCTACACCAGAACAACCTCCAGAAGAAGATCACCCAGATGATGAAGACGATCAACCGCAAGGGGACATCCAGGAACTGCAGGACTGAGAGTTAAGTATCATCTTCCATATGTTTTTTAATTTGGCTAGTGATACGTCTCTCACCCTGTTTTTCTCCCCTTAGCAAGCATCAGCAGAGCCAGACCAGCAGAACCAGACCAGCAGAAACCAGATCCAGTAATTCAACAACCTGATGTTGAATGCCCCCGGGGTGTTTGAAACGCAGT